ACTCTTTCAAAGATAAAAGTGTAAGACAGATTCCAGAATTTCTTATTGAATATGTATGCAGCTTCACATTGGATTCTTTCATGCAAGTTCAGTTTGCAGGACTAGAATTTAAGAAGCATCTTTTCCTTTAAAACTGAGCTTTTGTGCATTGAAGTTATTAAGAAAAAACAGGGCCCTGTGATGTCATTTTTAAAGTGCTTCTCAGAATAGAGCTGCATTTTAAAGTTGAAGCTAGCATACAGTAAAGGACTTCATACTCAGATTTTTATTTAATCTATATTTACTTCCATTTGAAGGTAAAACAGCAAAACGGGTAGCTTCAGCTACTGCAGTTAGTTCTGGAGAAGTGACATTAACCTCTTTACTTTCAGTCAGTCATCGCTCACAGCCCCACCAGCAGTCATCCCAGCCCCAGAGGACTCTGCTGCAGCATGTGGCTCAATCACAGACAGCAACGCAGACTTCTGTTGTGGTGAAATCTATCCCCGCATCTTCCACTGGCGCAATTACCCATCTCATGCAGCAGGTTGTACCCTTTCTTTTCCAAACAGTCTGTAAATATTACTAGGCTCTATGAATAATGTAGGGTCCATTTTTATTTGAGTTAAAGCACGTCTCTTAGTGATTGGTGTCTGTGGAAACCCTAAATGTGAGGGGCAGAATTTAGCCTGTTTGCTCATGTCCATTCTGAAAAAAAATGTTGCTTCCTAGGTGAGCTCTTCATGTTTGCCTGGGATCTTCCTGGTAGCAGTAGGAGTTGCCTGTCTGGTATTCAGTAATACAAATATGAAGGGGCCCAGATGATACTGTGTAAGACTTAAGTAGGGGGAAAGGAATGGAGCAGAACTAGGGACAGCACATCATAGAGCAGAGGCGATTTCATCATTATTGGGCATTATTGTATGGTGGCAAACTCCATGCCTGATCACTAATATGCAACACTCTGTAATGGAAGATGAATGCCCCCAAAAGTGGAAAGCTTAGTAATAAGCAGAAGTAACATGGGGTAACATGTCCTACAAGTACACTGAGGAATTAACATGTTTAAATCACACTTCTTTTGTTTGTCAGCATTAGTGAGTGTGAGGTTATCCTAGGATGGCGACAGGCTTAGGTACAGGTTTCCCTCACTTCATGCTGTAAAATAGCGCATAACTCGAATTTGCATAAAAGGAACCTACTTTACAGTGTAACAAATAGGGATACGTTCCAAGACCTCGACTGTACTGATGTGGCGTTGTGCTGCTCCCGGAACAGCTGCAGCTCAAGAAGCACGTGCA